AGTGGTTCTTAACCTTGGGTTACTCATGTGTTTTTGAACTGCAACTCCCAGAAATCCCAGCCAGCACAGCTGGTGGTGAAGGCTTCTGGGAGTTGCAGTCCAAAAACAGCTGAGTAACCCAAGGTTAAGAACCACTTAACTAGATGGTATGACTCATTACCACAAGCTACCGGTACTTATGTTCCCAACTTTACTTCCTTAACGAAACATACTGCACAACACTTTCATTCTCTGTCTTACAGCCAGAAGTAGGCAGCGGAACATGCAGACACTGTAACAACAGTGAAAATGAGATCCACCCCAACAGGCTCTTGGTAAAGGTAAAGGTTCCCCTTGACATTTAGTCCAGTTGTATCCGACTCTAGGGCGCGGTGCTCATCCCCGTCTCCAAGCCGCAGAGCCAGCGTTCATCCAAAGAGTTTTCCGTGGTCACATGGTCAGCACGACTAGACACGGAACGCCTTTACCTTCCCACCGAGGTGGTGCCTATTTATCTACTTGCATTTTTACATGTTTTCAAACTGCTTGGTTGGATGGAGCTGGGAGAAGCAAGCGATGGGAGCTCGCTTCTGGTCTTCTAACCTTGCAACGCAGAGGCTTCTGCAGTTTAACCCGCAGCGCCACCACATCCCAACAGGCTCACCTGGCCCTATATTTTAAACAAAATACATTTCATCTTACAACTCAGTTTTTCCTGACATTTTCACAGATCTATTAAAATTGTTCTTCATAATCGCACCATCCATATGACTCACATAAAACATTAATATTCATTTTATAGTTGAGGCACGAATCCTGTATAGTTTTATACTCAATTGTACAAGCGAGGCTGATTCAAAATTGTGGTCATACAGCATGAGGATACCCTTCATGCATACCCATAAATATCTATCTATTTATTTATTTTATTCCATTTATACCCCGCCTATCTGGTCATACTGACCACTCTAGGCGGCTTAAAAACGAAAACACACACGTGGCCCCTCGTGCAAAACCCCAAAGCAAGGGAGAATCACCCCGCTGGGCAACTCTTCTCTCCTTTACGTAAGAGCAAAAGAAAAGCAAGGCCAACCGCAGCTGGTTGAGGGAGTCCGCGGCACAAATGCTGCGCTAGCCGGCATGCGGCCAGACCTGTGCGTTTACTCTTACGCGCCCACAGACAACCAAGAGGAGTTTTGGCCCTAAAAACCTACCACGCCGGGCATTGCAGTTTGCAGAAAGCTGGGAAGGCACAGAAAAACATCCCCAACTAAGCTTGCCAGGCTGTTGAGGCCGGAAGGTCCCGCGGGAGGGGAGGGGAGGGGAGACCTTCGGCATAGGGAAGGCCACACGTGGCCGTGAGGGGAAAACAAACACCCCGCCGCGGCGCG